ATGTACATACAGATCCCAGGGTACTTTTTTGTATTTTGGAACTGTTTATATGTGTAATCTGTGGTAAGTTTTATTTTGTGAACTATCAATATTGACATACGTTGTTATACAGAATCTGAATCTTACTCTGAGTTACTGTTGTTTACAAACTAAAGAAATGAGAGATCATTTTTCTTTAGTTTTTCCTGAATATGTGAGGGCAAACTGTTAAGTTGACATGTAAAACTACATCACTTATTTTGTTGCAATTCTATGTTCTCCTGATATTATTTCAGGGCCATATTGCCCACCCCTAGTGTGGACTTCAAATGACGTTAGATTCAGGTGGATATGTTGGTCTCTAGTGATTGATCAGGGAAAATCAAATCAGTCAGAGTGGGCACAATGACTGAAGATGGAAACAGAGTGTAACCAGTTAACAGTTCTGTCTGATGTCAGGTAACATTATTCACTCTGAATCCTGTTTACAGCCAAGAGTAGTCTTCTATTTTATGTAAGGCACATATCCAAAAACAAAACTAAACAGATAAAAAAAAAAAAAAAAAAAAAACCTAACGTAAATAAAAAAAAATGTTTTGCTTTGCTTAACGGACATGTGCTTTTGTGCTAAACCGTCATTACACCACTGTTTGACTATGTGCTGGATGCTAATAAATAATCAATGCCAAAACAAAAGATTTACTGATTCCCACTTAAAATAAATCATTACAAAACAAAAAGCCTTTAGTACTGGATTGTAATGGATGACATTGGGACAGTGCTTTGTGAAGATATACAACATATGGAAACAAACACATAAAAAAAAAAAAGTCAGAGCCACAATCAAACTCTTAACGTTTTCTTAAAGGAGCTATATGTAAGAAATCTAAAGAAAATAGTCGTAAAATCCTCCTAATATGTCACAGAGACTAAGGAATAATGTTCATATAACATACTGATCTCACCGACAACAATAGTACAGCCAGAATATTCACATTTAAAAAAAAATAAATAAAAAAATACAGTCTGCAAATCATGTTTTTGTTTTGAATTTGTGTTTTGGCCTGTTGCGCCACCCACCGCCGTCTACCAGTGACACAGTCAATGGAGTCAATCAGTTAAAGTTATGACTGAGCTACAGCAGCACGGCAAGCAGCGTTAGCAGTGTCCCAGTACATAGCATTAGCAGCCGGCTCCTCTGCTGTATCCCGGCAGCAGCGTTAGCAGCAGAGAAGCCGGACTTGCTCGAACGGTCTGCTGGAAAACCGAAGATCAAGGACGCGGCGACGCGGCCCTGCCACGGCAGCCGCCCGTGGACAAACAAATCAGTCTCCAGCGTGCTGCTGTCCAGCAACCTCAAATCTGTAGGGGAGGGGGGGCGGGGGACACGACTCGCGGCAGTATTTTGAATTTAAGTGCAGTAACCGTTTTGGCCACATTCTTACATACATCGCCTTTAAAGAATCAGTACTCTTTTTCACAGAGCCAACTAAGTAAGCTTAACTTAGACCACAGCAACTGAACTGTGGGTGTGATCTGAGCGGCAACCAACAAAACTGAGTAATGAAGCCACTGCAAAAGTGACAGAAACTACAGTTCATTGACTGGCCACTTCATGATAGCTCCAAAACAGAGTTAATCCCCATAGACCCCCATGTTACAATGCCCAAATTTACAGCAGAAATGAACATGTTTGCAGCCTGGTACAAAAAACAGTTTTAGTCTGTTTAGCTAATTTCAACATTCATGACAACTGTACAGGGGTTACTTTTTTTTGTTTTTTACAGCTCACGCATTTGCATTTTATTAAGGCTTAAATTTATGCATATTTAAGGGCGGGGCTGCTTAAGTGACAGGCTGTCTGCAAGGCCTCACTACAGTCTGTGAGCAAGCTCCACCCCCCCCACTCCTCCACAGCTCCAGTCTCTCATCCAAAGATGGTCACTTCTGGCTCCAAAAATCCGAGATGACGATGGCCAAAATGCTGAACTCGAGGCTTTAAAGCAGCAGTCCACAAACCAATGACTCACATTACGGTCGCTACATCCATTATTTAATACAGTATATGATGTGATCTCACTGATTGTCAGGTAATATCAGTCACCTGTCTGCTTGTCACAGACTAACTTAATGTCACTGTAATGTTGGTTAAGGTAGAGGTCTGACCTGAGAGAGCCACTCCTCGTCCTCCTGACCACTGTGGTCTGATGCCAAGCTGTCTGACGACTCATGACGGGTGATTGGGCCTGGACTTCCTGGGGGCATCGCTGACAAAACACACACGCACGCACGCACGCACGCACACACACACACACACACACACACACACACACACACACACACACACACACACACACACACACACATCAAATTATATGATGTTCCGACCAATTATGACAGCTGATATTTTGAAGCTGACAATATTTTGTAACGATGTCCAATATCATCATAGTTTTCAAGGGGAAAGTATCTCTGATAATCACAGTACTCAATGTTTCCTACATAAGTCCTACATAAGTGTAAAGGCATCTAACATTATAAAATATGACAATGATGCAGTTATCAGAGAGGAATATCAAAAAGGCAAAGCTGACTGAGCAGTCAAAGCTGGGCAGTGAATCACATAACTATTTACATAAATCAGCCTGTGAGGGAAAATTATTACTGACTACTAGTTTATTAAAGTGTCTTAGAGTCATTAGGCTTTGACGTTGATGGTCTTTGACTGGAAATACTAATATATCTAAGCTGAAGTCAGTGGCAGCAGTTAAAGAGAGGAACAGTGTGTGTGTGTGTGTGTGTGTGTGTGTGTGTGCGTGTTATAAAGAGGAAAAAAAGAAAGAGTGACAGAGAGAGCCGGAGACAGATGGGGGTCTTGCAGGCTTGAATAAGTTGGTGTGGAGAATGAGACCTAATGTGTAGAATCAGTCCTCTCCCTGTCTCCCACCTCAGAGATGGGTCTTGTTTAACACAGGAATGGCTATTAAAGCTGTCAAGTCCACACTGGGAGCACAGGAGGTGCTTCGGTCTTTATATATACACACACACACACACACTATGAGGGGTGAAACGTATCAGCGAACACACACACACTGCATTCCCTGCGTACTTGATACGTGTACATTACATGTGCAACCATCACCGTGTACTTACTTCGCGTGCACTGCGCGTGCATTCACCGTGTACTTGTTACACATGTAATGCGTGTGCATTCACCGTTTACTTGTTACACTTGCAATGCACGTGCAATGCCTGCACACGCCTAGACGTGTGGTTATTAGACGTGCGTGCGTTGACACGTCATGTGATCACAGGGGTCAAAAGTGTCAGCTCGAAGCAACAACGCGTCGTGTGACAGGTAGCATGTCATACGAAAATCATTATAAATTTCAATAGAATAAACTTGCCTGATTAACTGAAAACAATTATACAATAATGAAAAAAATAATAGCCGAATCGAAAATATAAGTCAAGTCAAGTAAATTGATCATCTGAAAAAAGCCCATTTTATTGCGCTGAGACTCACAGCGAGCAAGTGACACTTAAGTGTCCCAAAATGCGTGTGACAGATCATCTGTTATAATACCTTTAGCTTTATATCAAAGAAAAAATGTGTCTCATGAAATTGTTATATTTTTAATGTAAACTGTAAATGTATGTCTATTTAATGTTTAGAGTGATTCCAGCATATGGTAGTCTGAGTAGACTGTTAGCATTGTCACTGAAAATATTTCCCCATAATTTACATGGAGTATTAGATTTTTAAAAGGTATCAAACTATTTGAATGCATCGCAGAATAGAGAGTTTCACCCTCCTGGTCACAGGTTGAGGTGGATTCAAATGAGGTGTGTCAAATCAGCACCATGGACAGCTCCACAGATTTATCATTAAACAGCGACCTACTCTACCTCAACCTGTGATATCCACGGATTTGGGTCATTCAATTTTAATTATTAATTAATAGCGTAATAGGGTATGGGCGGATTAAAACCAGCGGACTTCTTTGTTAAACTTTCTCAAACTATAGGCCTTATTGTGTGTAGAACCACTTTCTACAGGTGGCGGCTGGCTTAACTCACCAATAATGCACTGAGAAAAATGTTTGAAGTCCAAAAAAGTAATTTATTACAAAAAAAGTCATTAAAACAGGTTTCACAATTCAAATTATACTTTGTTCAAACAAAATCTTCAATATGACACCTTATCTTTGGTTAATTTTCTGTCAAACATTTTTTTTAAAGATGTGCACTCCACAGACAGAAACCACCGCACGGAGCGAGGTTTTTGAGCGCGCTCGGCTTTCAGTTATAACTGACAGGACTGCAAATATAACACAAACACTTAAGATGTCATACTTTAAATCAAACTCTTAACTGGCCGGATCAACGAGACCCTCCCCCGGGGTCTAGGCTTGTGGCACTGGTCCGACAGTGCAGTGGAGGTTCCAGCGCTGGAACACCGAGCGGCTGACAGCGTGACAGACGCCCGCACACACAAAGCTGGAAAGCCTGAGAACACTCCTAATTCCCCGATCCTTCACTAACCTCCACCCTACCCCCGGGACTTCTCCACCTACGCTGGCTATCTTTTTATCTTTTTATTTCCTTTCCTTGTGCAGGCACTATTTTTAACACTTCTACAACGGATCATTTGTTAGCCTATAATAATAGGATACTTGCAGCTTTATGTTGTTAATGAATTTAAAACATACATTTTAAGGTCAAGAAAGTCATACTTTGTGGTAAAACTGTTGAGATATAAACTTTTTAATTAGAAAGACTACACAGGAGGAGGTATGACCCGCGTGGGGGTCCCAGGGGGGTCTGAGGACTAGGGAGACCCACATGTTGTGGAACAACTACCGTCAGACCCTGCTCACTAATCCTGAGCACTCATCCTGGGCACAGAATCCACCAAAAAAGCAGATCTACAAACCCACCATCCATGGCACATAGTTTGATCGCATATGAATTAATGTATTAATTAGATATCACCCTTAAATAATTATATATTAAGTGGGTTAAGTCATAGTGACCTAACCATTAATTAATCAGGCTAATGGTGTGGACCATTAATTGATGAGTTAATGGTGAATTAATGTATGAGTTCATCATTAAATGTATAAATGTGAGTTAGGCCTACCTCAATATCTTAAATCAAAATGTTAAAGCTATGAGGATGATGTGGGCAATTGCTCATGAAATAGCCTTCACTACAAGATAGGGCGGACATTGAAAGAAACTAGAAGAATTGAACTTTCCATAGCTGTGAGTTGCTTGTTGGAGCGACATCCCAGTGCTGAGAAATACAGCATTGAATTAATGTAATGGAAATCGACTGCACACACATTTGCCTACACAGGCTAGCCTACTTGTTTACATAACTTATGAACTCGTTTGCACAGATATGAAACAAATGGAGGAAGAACTGAAGCAGCTTTGTGATGATGCTACTCAAATATTTTCACACATTATGAGGACAGATCAAACTTATTCTGCAAAGTAGCCTATGGTTTACTAATTTCCCATTTAACTGTATATCATAAATAAACAGCAGATCAACCAAAGTATTTTTGAGAGATTCGGCTTTTAATCAACAGCACATTGATATTGACAGATTCCAGACAACCTCAGTTATACAGTTACATTAACCGGAGAGTGGTTTGACTTACTACAAGAAATATATAGTCAATAATAAAGGTGGTGATGTTTATTTTAAAGATATACATTTAATTTATCCAACAAAAGAAATTCTTTAAATGTACAGACCTTTTGTCTGAATCCTGTGTATTCTGCAAACTGACACAGAAACTATTGTTCATTTATTTTATGAATGTATTTATGTTCAATTATTTTGGATTGATGTTGACAATTTGATTCTTTATGTGGGGTTAAGATTAATTTCCTAAAAAAAAAAAAAAAAGGAAAAAAAGGACATTACTTTTTATTCGGAGAAAAACAATATGGACAGAAGACATCTTTTATTTTTAAACCATCGTATTTTAGATGGAAAGTTTCATATCCACAAAAGCAAGTGGACGGAAAGGAAACCAAATATACACCAGTTAAAATATGAACTGACCAATATGAAAGCCATCAGGACTTTGAATGTTTATGAAGCCTTAAAATCCTCTCTATAACTTGAATGTACTCACGACTTTGTATATTTTTATTCAAAATAAAAATGAAATTTCTATACAGTCTGGTATTATGGCACTGACTCACAAACCCCAGACTCCACCTTATGGCAGGAACAGGCAACAACACACAGCACCCCAACTGCTGTGGAAATAAGTAGGTATAATAAATAATATAACAATTTCATGAGACACAATTTGTTCCCCTTGATATAAAGCTGCAAGTATCCTATTATTATAGGCTAACAAATGATCTGTTGTAGAAGTGTTAAAAATAGTGGCTGAACAAGGAAAAAAAATAGATAGATAGATAGATAGATAGATAGATAGATAGATAAATAGATAGATAGATAGAAACTGCGTAAATATATACAGGCTACACTTATAGCATATACAGTACAGGCCAAAAGTTTGGACACACCTTCTCAGTCAATGCGTTTTCTTTATTTTCATGACTATTTACATTGTAGATTCTCACTGAAGGCATCAAAACTATGAATGAACACATGTGGAGTTATGTACTTAACAAAAAAAAGGTGAAATAACTGAAAACATGTTTTATATCTAGTTTCTTCAAAATAGCCACCCTTTGCTCTGATTACTGCTTTGCACACTCTTGGCATTCTCTCCATGAGCTTCAAGAGGTAGTCACCTGAAATGGTTTNCTTATCAGTGATTAAGGATTTGATTTGTTATTTTATAATAACACGCAGTTATAAGAGAACTAGAATGGATGAACACGACATCTTTATTGTTGAAAATGAAACTTTGCTAACTAAATCAAGCAATTTAAGGAGCATAACAGCATTATTTGTAACCTTGAACGATAAAAAAAAAGTCTGCGCTCCTGACTCATGCATTTCCAAAAGTGGACCTTCTCTCAGTTGACCTACTGATGAAGACTTTAAGCGGGGTCGAGACATCGCTTTCATCCATAAGGTCACTGTGAGCGTTCATAATGGTCAAATGTGTTAGTCTCTCCTGCGTCATGGTGTTGCGCAGCCAGGTTTACAGTCTGCGCAAGGCTGAGAAAGAGCGCTCGGATGCCGCCACAGATATGGGCAGGGCCAGATAGAGTTTAACGAGCTTCTCCCCCTCCGACAGCATGGAGCGGGTTTGGGTTTGGGGCT